AAAACTAAGTAGTATAGTACAGTTTTACTTCCTTAACTTTTTAATTTAATAACGTACTATAGTCACTATAGTTTGTCTCTCTAATAAAATAATAGTACTATATATATATATATATATATATATATATATATACATTCACAAGCAACAGTTATATAATAGTATAACCGTTTAAAATGACTTTCATAAAGACTTAGTGAACCTGGCAAGACTATGTGGTTTTCTCAAAACCATATTCATAGACTTAGGTTTTTCTCAAATCATCCAATTTTAATTTTAAAATACATGTTTTGCCTTCATAAATCATTTTACCGTATTCACTTTTAATTTCCTACCAAGTTAAGTTCATGGCCATAAAAACAAATCATAAATACCATCTTATAATTTTATCCAAAATAAATCATGACTAAAGAATGTCTATTAAAGCCATGACAAAATATTTGTTTTTTGGCAAATATGGAGACTTTATCGAAAGATCATCATCACATGCAACACTTCATATTATAGACATTATTGGGAGGATGGTCACTAAGACCGAGTTCCATCAGAACACTCCCTTCGTGCTTTACATATTTGAATGATCTACACTCATCTCTTGTCTTTCATCCGTAGCGCAAATCACATCTCCATGTGTATTACTATCTTAAGTAGTTCATGCTTTAACACAATGAAGTACTAAAACACAGGGTATTCAAATATTGGCTCTTTAAAATTTGTTAGCACCTATTACTTAATGTTTATACACTTCATGCATATTAATAAAACAATTAGTCAAAATATAACCAACGCATATAAAATAAAAAGATATTGAATCATCTTTCCCTATATGACCTTACCATGTAATGTGAGATAGATTTCATACCTCAAAACCGTGTAGTGTGGTACCTAGGCTTTCTTGATTCATTGTTTTTCTTTGTTTGACAAGCTTTGATGATCTTGGAAGAGCACACAACTGATGGAGAATATATTGGTCATCGGTTTCACATGTCATGAAGTGTCCATCTTTTTGACACTTGGATTCTCTATGTCTCAAGAAATAATCTTTTTCATCCCATGATTTCAATATCACAATTTCGATTCTCCTACTGGTCATTAATGTTTCTATGCTACCACCAAGTCTCTCTATATATCCATTCATTGCGAAGAAACTAATATGCTTTTATAGGTATCGTGTTTCTTCTTCTTTCTGTTATTCCCAAATCAAACATTCTTCATATAGAGTGTCTTATCTTGCGAACTCTGTATTACATCTCTTTGAAGTTGTACTATAATAAACTATACTCATGGCAAACTATAAAACATTTTAAAATGATCCTTAAAAATGTCTTCATAATTAGGAATCCAAAGATGTGCCTGAACATGCCATATTTTTTAATTTACTACAGCATAGAACATGAGCATCCCACAATAAAAATATGATATCTCTCAACTAATAAATATTTTCTCTCCTAATCCTTTTAAGTACTAAAATAAACTCAAAAAATATAAAATAGTGCTCAATTCCATCCCTAAATCACACCATTTAGTGAGTCTGACTTTTATATCATAATGCAATGGTTTCAACAGAAAATCAGGTTGAGCATCTCTTAATAAAAAAAATTGTTTCTCTCAAGCCTCAGATAATTTCTTCTTGGAATCTCTTATATTGAAAACTAGGCTCAAAACCAAATCATAACATCATGGTGTGAATCCCAAATAATACATTGCTTGAGAGAAATAAATAAGGTGACATGCACAACACAAAATAAATCATACTGCAGAATTCTAGGATGAACACTACAGAATTCCAGAATGAACACTATTGTTAATAAATGCTTTTGTTTCTATTAAAAATTTATAGTTTACCCTTGATTAATTATTTAAAATACCCCTAAACAAAAAGTTACTATACTATCGGATAAGGGTATCTAAATGTTTAAAAATGTTGAACACTTTAAGTGTCTACACCACTTGTGGCGTAGACCCTTAAAGTGCTCAATATTTTTAAACATTTAGATACCATTATCCTATAGTATAATAACTTTTTGTTTAGAGGTACTTTAAATAATTAGTCAAAAGTTAACTAGAAATTCCTAATAAAAACAAAATCATTTATTAACAATAGTGGACAATGACATCACGGATGCGGTATGTGACATCACCCACAATATGCATTAATTGTTTTTAACTACTAATAAAATGCTACTATTTTCTTATAAAAATATTCATTCTACCCTTCTAAATAACCAAAAATACCCCTACTTAAAAAAATTTGTATTACAATTTAAATATATGTTAGTGTAAAAAAATATTGAGCATTTTAAAAGTCTACACCACCAAATGGTGTAGGATAACAAAACCCTTTAAAATATAACCCTTTTTACTCTTTTGTGCTTAGTTCTTGATAATTTTATAATTTACTATTTTATGCAAAACAGAGCCATTTACGTTCAATTCATATATGCAATAAACTATCTATATTTAATAAAAACAGCTTAAATATCATAGTGAAAAACGGTTTTTCCTTTTTTCTCTTATTGTTTCTTTTTTTAACTCATAAGGAGCAGTCCTGGTAGAGCCATTTTTGGTACCCAATATGCAGCACCCCGTTTCTGACTCCTATTGAGGAATGTCGATCCTTCATACATGCCGTGCGTCTAGCCTGACACGACGCACAGACGAAATATTCCTTACGAGGATTCAGCATGTTCCAAAGTGTCAAGACATATCGAAAAAGAAAACAAGCCAAAAAAAAAAGTGTCAAATTAACACTATTGCTATGTATAAGTATGTCAAGGTCATGAACAAAACTAAACTTACCCAGATCCACTTCATGGAAAAATAAACCGTGTCAAAAAAGGAAGAGAAACGGTAGAAAGTAAATTGGGGATGGAGACAACATAAACATTTCTCACCACTCAAAATCTTTTATTAGAAACTCCAAAACAACCACTTTTGATTCATGTACATAAAATCTATCAAACAAATTCAACAAATTCAAACCACTTAAAAGAGAGAAGGGTCATATAAATTTTGGCCATGCAACCGGGTGAACTGGTCCAAGAGCTAAACGTCCAATCCATATAAACATAAACAAGGAGTCTGATAATCCAATACTGCATATTCATAGATCTAGGGGACACAATCTCACGACATGAACTGCATTGAAAACAAGGCATATTTTGATTCATGAGAACATTGCATTTTTATATAATTAGAACAATCTCTTTTTTGACTAAGCTGAATATAACATTCTCGCTATCATGTGACAAGACAAAAGTGATATATCAAAACCAATTCCCCATGAAAATGGCCAATGGGATTACACTGAAGAGATTTTCACACGTTGGCTCCTGTTTGAATTAGCAAAACAAACCACCTTTTTGGGATTCGCATAATTCTTCATGATATACCGGGGCAATATTGACTATTCATGAAGTGCATAAATCAATTTTCCAAATTCCATAGCCAATGGATCAAAAGTCTTTTCGCTGACCATAATGCCGTGTCCACGAATTATCTCATAGAACTTTTGTATCTTCCAGCCAGAGAGACCTTGCTGTTGTTAGATAGTAGCATACGTACCTTTTCTCTCTCTTTCTTTTCCCTCTTCATGCGCTCCTCCCTTAGTTCTTCCACTGACTTCTTGCTTACTTTCGGAGATCCTGATATTTCTCCCCCTATCACATTTCAAAAGACAGACAGGTTAGCTATCTGCTAAGTTGACAATAGTATACCTACTTATAAGAAATGAGACAAAAAAAAGAAAGCAACCCGAAATCTGAATAACGCAATGTTCCCAGATCCTAAATATATGACCATTAGGGAAGATCTAGTGGTAACTAAACCATTAGTTACCTTTAGTTGCTTTCTGCCAATGTGAGAGCCAAAAGACCAACATTTCTACCCATTATATGGATGTCAAAGTCATTTGGAAGTAAGAAACCATGAGCCCTCCAAGATATGCGCAACAAGTCATTCAGGAGACAAGAAAAATACATCATGCCAAAACAAACAACAGCATATCAACAGCCATGCTTTCTATTCAATATATACACAAACAAACCAAAAAACAAAAACATCCAGTACTATAGATCAATCACTGACATCAATAATGATGCAGGCGACAGGATGAAGTTCTAGGCATTGGGAAGGGAGAACAGGTTTAATTGCAAAGTCGGCACTTACAAAGACAATTGCATAATTGCAGTGTACTTAGAGCTAGGGTTGCACTATAGGCATTGAAAAGGGAAACTTCCTTGCAAAGTTGACACTTACAAAGACAATTACATGGGTGCAGGGGATTCAATTCCAAGGGATTTAATACCAACATGGCTTCTTCAGTGGCTCTCTAAGGGCCCTGGCAAGCAGACCTCTCACTTTGGAACTAAACATTGCTCCACTAGATGGTTGTGGCAGCATACCCAGTGATGTCTCACCACCAAGTGGCCAGCAAAGGTATCACATTTCAACTGGCTGAGGGACGATACTCTCCTTCTATGCTTTTTCAAGACAAGTCAACAGACTCCAATCTGATTTTCAAATTCTACAAATTTGTTAATGACATTAGTATTAGAGACCGTATACTTGAAACAATTAATATATCAGGTACTCATTCGCACAACCATCATCTGAACTTAACCACGGATGATGAAGATGAGTAACTGTCCTCAAAAATAAGGGTGGGCTGCAAATGAGTAGGGAAGGTGGAGTTGAGTCTGAATGCATCAAGTATATAGAATACTTCCCTTAGGATTAAAGTAAAGAAGAGCTTTATAATGGAATGTGAGATGTGGGATGACTGATCTTCCAAATTAGTTTGACTAAGGCCTCCCTAATGTAGGAGTAGCGAAAGAAGAGATTATTATACCCAACTGTTGAGAGGTTCAAGATACATATAAGTACATAAAAGAGGCGATATTTTTTCACAAGAGACAGGTTCTGCCATTGAAGCTACATTATCAAGTATCTCAATATATCACATGCATCTTTCCAGATTCCTGCCAGTTTGACATAGATCAAGCATCTAGCAAAATACATGTGATAGATAGGGGAATTTGAGAGCAACTGGAGGAGCAGGAAGCTGTTTAGATTTAAATTAATCGGGACCGAGGATATCTTATTCAAAGAGGTTCATTTTATGAAGATTTAATAAGTGAACAAGGATAATTGTGCAGTCAACATTTTCAAAAAATGAAGTTCTTCTAGGTGTGATTCGTCTCTTAACTGTGAACTTTTTAATAGTGAACTCTTTTAATAAAGGGTTTAATGAACTCTTGTTAATAGAGTTCTTCAAGGTGTGATTAGTCTATTAACTACTGCTTGTATTGACGTTAATAGAGTTCTTCTAGATGTGATTAGTTCGTTAACTTTTAACAAGTGGACGAGGTTAATAGAGTTCTTCTTGGTGTGATTAGTGTGTTGTTCTACTAGGTGTGATCAGTTCATGCATCCTCCCAGAGGTTACTCATCTTGAAATTGCTTACAGAATTCTTACATATTTAAAATCATCACCAGGTAGAGGACCGTTATTTGCTAAGCATGGGCACTTACGACTTGAGGCTTATACAGATGCAGATTGGTTTGGTTGTATTATTGACAGCAGATTTACATCAGGTTATTGTCCACTGGTTGGAGGTCACCTTGTGACTTAGAGTAAAACACAGTCAGTTGTAGCCTGTTCAAGTGCAGAACTAGAGTATCGACCATGGCTCATAGGGCATTTGAGTTGCAGTGGTTAAAAATCCTATTCAGAGAACTCAGGTTATTGTCCACTGGTTGGAGGTCACCTTGTGACTTAGAGTAAAACACAGTCAGTTGTAGCCTGTTCAAGTGCAGAACTAGAGTATCGACCATGGCTCATAGGGCATTCGAGTTGCAGTGGTTAAAAATCCTATTCAGAGAACTTGGGTTTTCCATGAAAGGATCAATGTCCCTATATTGTGATAATAAGGCAGCCATTACTATAGCTCACAATCCGATTCAGCATGATAGAACCAAGCATAACCAATCATATAGAGGTAGACTGACATTTTATTAGAGAAAGAGTTGCTACCAGATAAAATTATGTGAAGACAGTAGAGCAGCTAGCAGATATCCTAACAAAGGCAATTGGGAAACCTCGACTAGAATTCGTCTTAAGCTAGTTGGGCATGATTGATATCTATGTACCATCTTGAGGGCGAGTGTTGTAAAAGTAAACATTGAAAGCTCCTATCTCTCTTCTAATTGTATTTAAATCTCTAAGGACTTATTTGTCCTTCTTTGTACTTAAGGGGCAGTTTTGTATTTAAATAAAATTTGTAATTGATATGCTACAATAAAGAGTGTGTGAAGGTCACTTTAGGCTACATGTAACCTCTTTCTTCTCTTAAATTATTGCTCCCCCTCTTTCTTTCTAATCGAGCCTTTGATCTCTCCCTCTCTGTCTCTCTCTCTCTCTCTCTCTCTCTCTCTCTCTTTTCATCTTTCTCCTTCTTTCCTTGGTTGCTGTTGTATCTTTAACTAAGCCAAAACATCTTTTCTGGAATGCTTTTCCACAAGGGAAGTGTGGGGCCAGAGACCTCGAATGGAGCTGCTCTTACTGGTTTGAGGTGCTCCAACATTCTTCAGTGGAATACTCTTACCGTCTATGGTCCAAAATAACCCTAAAATTAGGTAAAACTTGTGGCTAGAACTACAATCCGAGGTCCCTCATCATCCAATCCGTCAGGTCATACATGGAGACTTTAATGTCTGTAGATGGACACACAATAAGATAGGGGTAGTCCTTTGAATGCCAGCATGAGGGCCTTTTCTGAATTCATTAATGGAAACTACCTTATAGATGTTCCCTATTAGGAGCAGCCTACACTAGCTCCAACCATGCTTGCTCACCTAGTTATCATCAAAATAGACCGTTTTCTTGTCTCCAACAATTGGGAAGACAAATTCCCAGTCCCCACCTCCTATGATCTATGCAAAACCACCACAGATCATAAACCCATATTGTTAGACACAGACACTATCTAGACTGAAAAAGCCTTTCAGGTTCGAACCGGCTCGAGGAGTCAAGACTCCCCCACAAGGTTCACAACTGGTGTCTTCTTTCCAAGTTAGGGACTGGGCAAGGTTCTGTTTATACAAAAACCTTCAGCTCCTTAAAACCAACCCCAAAACTTGGTAGAGAAATTTCCACAAAACCATCCAGGTATTTACCTCCAAAATCCAGACTCTACATCTTTTAAAAGAAACAAGGCCACTCCCGCAGTCCAAATCCTCAACGAGATCCACAGTCAGATCAAATCTACTCAACCCTCAGGCAAGAAGAAGTCTACTGGCACCAAAAATCCAAGGTTGTCATCATCATCATCCAAAGCCTATCTCAATTATTTGGGATCGGTTACATGAATCATGTTCTTCTATTCTTCTCTATCAAGGGCCATACACTCAGTAAGACCACCAAAGATCCAAGGTAATGTGGCTAAACGCCGGTGACCGAAACACGACCTACTTCCATAAGGTAGCCAACTCCATGCACAGGTGTAATGCCATCAACCAAGCCACTGTCGCTAGGTAAATTTTTACCCAATCTCGCAGATCAAAAGGATTGTAGTCAGATACTTCCAAAACCTGCTCTCTAAAAACCTCAATCCATGACACCATATATGGCTCACCTATCCATCAACTCCATCACACAGAAAGACCTTTCACAAATGAAATAAAAAAGATTGTCGCCCATGACAAAGCCCTAGGACCCGATGGGTCTCCCGGTTCAATTTTTTCATAGGGTTTGGGATATTCTTTCTTCTGAACTCTTTTGCTCCAACGAATTCTATGAAAGAGGACAGCTCTATTGGGATAATGGCCTGTCAAGGCCTTGTATTTACTTTTTTCTTTTATTCTCGATTCTAATGGGAGTAAAGCGAGAACTGGGTAGGCAACCGAAGTCTATACAAACTGGGATTAGGTTGAAACCTGAATAAACCCCGTGTCATGAGGCAAGACTGTGAATCCATTTATTTAAACCAAGAGATTTATGGGTTCCCTCTAGTCAGGGTCGGTATCGACAACTCATGACATTTTAGCCAGGGCACTTGTGAATGGATCGCTCCTAAGGAAAATTCATTTAGCAGCAACTCAAATGAGAGTGTGCTTTCAAGAAAACAAAACTTCAGCAGAAACTTCAAGATGAAATTAACGCTCTCAAGAAAAGAGAACTCAACGGCAACTGGAGGTAGAAGGCGAACTTATAACAGTAGATACATCAGTAACAACTTGTGATAAAAACAAACCTTTTTAAACAAAGACGATGTTACTGCAAATTCGATCTAAGAACGAGCTGTTTGAATTAAAGAAGATATCGGCAGTAAAACAAATCGATCCTTTTGAGAAAAGGAAAAAATCTGCAGCAACTCCAACTGTAAATGAAGCTTCTAACAAAGCAATCTTTCTCAACAGCAGCAGAAAACTAGGGCCATTGCAGAACTATCTCACTTTGAGTCTTGCAAAAAGTTCTAACCAAGTTACTAACAAAATGGGGTTTCAAGGATCATGAGATGTGAACACAGGTCTGCTGCATTTATTAAAGGGGGGAGACAACTGGGTTTCTTTCGAATGGTTATAACAGCAAGAAAAGATGGTCCTGTGCGCAGAGATTTTCTTGACTGAAAATCAGCGTCTTCAAGTGAGCATGATCTAATGAACAACAAGAGGTGAAGCTCCGATGCTATGTCTCTCAAGATGATGATCATGCATGACCACGGAACTGAACATACCACGGAACTGAACACAATCAGTACAATCAACACGTACTCACCAAGATGAAAAACACAGCAGAAAAGTCAGATGACCAACATGAAAACCCATGTGGGTCATGCCTGTTTTTAGGAATGAAAAAGCAAAGGTTGGATTCAGACAAAAAGCAAATTAGTTTGAGATTGCGAGACTCAAACAAAGGAGGGATTATGATCATGATGCAGCTGTTATCTATAGGATAACAGTTGCAGCAAGAACAAGATTTACAGAGAAGAGCAATGAACACAGTAGCTGATTTTAAAGGTACTGTACTTCAACACAATATGCTCTTGGAATGAGTAATGCTCAAAAGAGAAAACTAACTCAAGGTTACTCTCTATAACCATCTATACAAAGAGATCACAGCTGCATAAAAACAGGCTCTTGAAAGAAGTAAAGATTTTCGTCAACGACAATAAAATGCCTAAAATAAAATCTACTTATAAAGATGCTTGCCACCTTCTTTGGCTGGAAAGGATCTTCTATATCATGTCATAAACCTAACACCTTATGATCTTTCATGACTTAGCAAGTAGATAGGGAAGAAGAAACTTCGTAGGTCTTAGGATAGTTCTTGACTTAGCAAGTAGATAGGGTAGAAGAAACTTCGTAGGTCTTAGAGTAGTTCATGATATAGTGGCCGCAGTTAGGAAGTTCGAACCAGTCTAAGGGAATCACATAAGCACAATCATTCTAGGGAATCACATAAACACATTCATTCTTACATTATCTAGCTTTCACGCTCCTCCTTATATAGAGCACATCAAAGGTGGTGGAAGAGTGATTGAATCCTAGCCTTCAAAATAGACAATCCAAGGGTTGAGAGGCGCCTTCATTACATAGACTATTCCATCACCATGCTTTGCCATCATTGGATGGTGAGGATTACACAGACACCCTTGATCACCAAATGCCCATTAAAATGCTTCTAATCAAGCCACTTACTAATAACATCATGTGGCATCACCATATATTTCAATTTTAACGTGATCTCAAAACATCAAAGTGATTTAAGTGGGGTTTGGCCCTTTAGTCTTACCTTCTAACCATCAACCTAAGAGTAACTTGTTTTACAAGTTGATTTTAAATCATTTAATGATGTTCTATAACACAAGGTGGCATAAGGTGTACCCTTAACAAAACGTCTTTATCATCTCTGTACTTTAACAATCTTACATTCACAACCTCCTATGGATCAAAGGTCATATGTCAACTATTGGCTTAAGGAAAAAGCTTTTTAGAAAATGCTTTGTATTGTATTAATACATGAAATTGAGTCCATGGTCCTCACAAGACCATATTATATAAATGGTCCTCAAAAAAACGACAATCCACTAATATAATGATGGTGCCAAGGTGGGCCCTAGAGGGGTGACACACATTGGTCATTTGTGTGTCACTCCCATATCTATAAGGGCCTGGATAAAAATATTTGGCAAAATAATTTTACGATACAATACTGATTCTAATAATCCAGAAAACTATTCTCTAGAATTTTGCTTGGTTTGGATAGAATTAATTCTAAATATGATGGATGTTGGGCAAATGCTACTCCACAGGGCTATTCCTATTAATTACATATCGCTTCCTCAAATTAGCCCAACAGACCCTATGCGACACAGTCCGAAGCTGGTCCACATTATTCGTTCTCTCAAAGCTGACCAATTGACGATGTGATTTCCAGAACTTCAATGGATTACAAGTGCAAATCTTGAGGACATGCATTTCTGAGAATGCGGAGGCTCCTCTCTCAGCACGCACACATTTCTGATTTGGCAGATCCAACCTAACCAGAATGGCTCCCCAATACGACTGTATTGTGTGCATGTTGTGAGTGACTGTAAGAGTCAGGGTTTTGGCATTTGTCCTCTTAATGCCTTCGTACACTCAAACTGGGCAAAACATTACAACATGATTCATTCACAAGTTCCCAGTACTCAAAATAAATAAGTAAATAACTAAACAAATCGCGTTGTGTCATGCGGAGAAGCTTGCAAAATGTTGTAATAAGTGGTTACTAGAGAACAAACCAAGCATGTGCATCGAAAATAAATAAATTACTTTCAACCACGTATATTAATTCAGTGAAAACCCTGATCCCCAACTGCTATTGTCTGATACTCCAATTGAAGCCTTACCAATTCTATCCCTCTAATATAATCATGCACTTGTATTTCAGCATACAGAGAATCAATCCAAAAACCATCATCAGCAATCATCTCCATCGGAATAACGCATAAAAGAAAATCTAGTTCTGCCATACATGGAGCATCAGAAAGAAATAAAAACAAGGAAACCAAATAAAACAAAGATGCATCCAACAAATTCAACAGAATTCAAACAAATAAAAAAATGTCGTTAACTATCAATCAATTGAATAAATTACCTACAGAAACTATCCCACTGTAACCATTACAACTCTAAATTGATGGACAGAAACCATAAAATTTCACCGATAAATCCCTAATTAATTACAAGAAACACCAATCGCACACATATTGCAAACCCTAAACAGGCATAAATCAAGAAAGCCACCAAAAACTCACCATTTCCAGCACCTTTATCCTCGTCCGCAACTTCACCACTCAAACTATCCCCATAATCCAAGCTTCTCGATAGATACCATGGCGTCTGCACCCCTTTTCCAGCCACCCCATAACCAAGCCTGTACTTCTCATCCTCAGGCAATATAATCTTCGCCGACTCCTCTTCCTTTCTCCTCTTTTTCTCCCTATTCAAACCCTCTTTTAGAGCCGAGGGCTCTGTATCTTGCCCCAAATCGAATACCTTCAAGCCTTCAAACAAGTTTATGTGGTTAGACCCAGGCTCAGGAGCCAGGCTCGATGTGGACGCGGTTCGGCTTTGAGGGGTTAAGCCCTTTAATGCTCTGAGTCTCTCTATGCGAAATTCAGCGTCTCTCTTTCTCGATTGCTCTTGTTTCAGTTGTTCCTCTCTTGCTGCTGCTTCCTCGTCGAGGCGAACTTTCTCTCTGTTCTCGTAGTTGTAAACGTTCCATCGCTTCTGAGGAAGGATGTTGAGGCCCCCGTGCCCTCCCATCTCTCTCTCTACTCTCGGATTCTTGATGCCTCCCGCACTGCTCCCTCCTCCCTCTGGTTGCTCTTCTATTCCAAGCGCTTTTTCTCTCTCTAAACTTTTCTAAGTTTCTCCGTCTACCGGACTCGCAACTACGACGCGCGTATTTCTCCCCACGAAGAGAATGAAAATAAACAAGGGTAAATATCTCCGCACCCTAATTTTTTATTCCTATTTTATAAGAGACCTAAGGATCTAACTATTTACGACAGCATCTTCTAAACCGATCATCTATTATTATTAATAACTCTCTTCCATCTAAACCTAACATCCATTTAACCATGTACCTCCTCTCTCTCTCTAAACTCAGTTTCTCGCCCTTCCCTCTCTCTAATGTCCGTCACTGTCGCCCCTTTCTCTTTCTAAACGCCGTGTCTCTCTGACCCCTCTCTCTCTATCAAATAAATGCCCAAATCACAAAGACCTTTCGACATCTCCTCTCTCTTTAATACTCAAATGGCACAGACCCACCTTCTCTCTCTCTTTCAAGCTCTAGTCCAATTTTCTCAAAAAAAAAACAGCCTTTAACTTCTCTGCACCTTTTAATCGCAGGTTGCCCTTGTTCAAATCAACTCATAGAACCCTAGCTATCAGATCAGCTTTAACTTATCTCAACTCAAAGCAATTTCCTTCTTTAACAGTAATTCTGTCTTTTTCTTTTGATTGTTCAATCGGACTTTGTTTAGAAATCATTGGGTAGGCTTTTAGAGCTAAAATTTTGGAACAAATTATGGAAAGAGAATGGGGATTTGGTCTGAATTTTACTATTTTAGTGCAATTTTTTGACCCATTTGAAGAAAATGGGCTGAGATTTTGTTTGCAATACAAGCATGAAGTTTGGAATTTTTTATACGAAAAAGTCTCACGAGTTTAGGCTGTATTTTGAGAATTTCAGTCCAAATTTTTTTGAAACTTCCACATTTTTTTTTATTTTTTTTTTAGAAATTCTCTTCTATTTTTTGACACACTTTAGCAAAGTTCACCAAAATTTGTAGAATTAAATTGCAGATTTTGACTGAAACTTCTAAATTGCAGATTTTGACTGAAATTTCTTATAATCTTGATTGTTTCTTTCCATCAATCTCAATTTGGAATATAGGGCAATTACGCGAGTTTCGATTTTTGCAAGGGGTTGAAACTTATTATAGCTGAAATTTGAAATTAAGGAGCAAAAATACAAAGGTTTAAGATACTGAAATCAACTGTACTGCTGGTCTAGTGTGATAGGTTTGATGGCTTTTTTCCGTCAATTCACCATTTTTCTTCCTTAAAAATGTTTGGATTAAATTTTTTTGTCTCATAGTATACTTTCTCTATATAAAAGTTTCCGGTGGCTGCTCATTGCAATTACCCCATTGATGTTAGTTCTAATCTTGAAGGAACATTGAAGGACTTTGGAGAAATTGTGAAACTCCTCCCACTTCAAATGATCTACTTGAGGAATCAATCAGCAGCATCTCAAGAACACCCTACGATCAACCGATGATCATTCAAGATTGCAAGAACATCCTAGAGAGAGACGATGAGAGGGTGGATTTCTCCTATTTGGGTATTTGAGAGAGAGAGACAGGACCTGTAGAAGGGTCCCTACGATTTGGGCATTTGAGAGAGACGGACTTTAGAGAGAGAGGGGGGGACTGAGTTTAGAGAGAGAGAGGGGGGGGCATAGGTGAACGGGGTTAAATGGAGGTTAGGTTTTGAGGGAAGTGAATCATTTCATTACTTGTCGAGGTCAATAACGTATGGTCAAAAAGATTTAGGAAGTTAGAAGATAAAAATATAGAGACTTTATACTCCTAAAAATAATTTAAATCCTCGAAGCTCTTAAGAAATAGACAACACAAATATGGGATGTGGAGATATTTACCCAATAAAGAACTAACACTCCTCAATACTTCACCCGTATTTTTTTATAAGAAAAACAATTTATTACTTCACCCATATTTTTTTATTTAATTTCAAAATACTCCCAAAACAAAATGCATGCTCTTGAATTGGAATAGTTGCAAATAGGTAAAATGTTGAGGACCTGGTTTCTATATGGCCAAGCTCGCATACGTAGAAATGTGGGCCCATTAATAAATATATTTTTGAGATGGATTTTTTGACTCAAAGACCTGTAATCTCTAACATGGAGATCATGAATATGAAAAAATAAGTAAATTTTAAAAACTAGAAATAATAATTCTAGTAAAAAAAATTGGGCAAGCTTGTCTATGCTTCCCCTACAACGTACAATTTATATACTTCCTCTTATCCAACCGTCCATTCTGAATGGAGGGCTGAGATTGCCCCAATCACAATGTCACGTCTCTACACTATTTTATTTTTTAATTTTTTTTATAAATTATTTTGACACCAAATTTTAGACGTTCAATGCTCTATTAAACTCATACTAACGAAAAAAAAAACAAAAAAAAATTCTAATAAAATAAAATGACCAAAATACTCCTAAAAGATTCAAGAGGTATTTTGGTCATTATATTTTATCTAAAATTTGTTTTTAATAGTTTTTATAGGTGTGCTCCAATGAGAAGATGGCACTTACCAAATTTTATATTCATATAATTTGTATAAAAAAAACTAAAAATAAAATACTCTGAGACGTCGGATCTATGATCAAACGGTGAATGACTCTCTTGATCGAACTTGGACGGCTAGATGGTAGGGGAAGCATGGATCTTCTATGTTTTAGGAGAAGTATAGAAACCTTTCCCAAAAAAATTTAGACCGTTAGTTTCTATTGTTTTTAGATGGAACACCTACTTGCACCCATCTTTAAGATGGATGCTCTACACTTTTTAGACCGCATATGTAGTCATGCGGTCCAATCCGCAGGAAACAATTTTCCAAATGTTAAAGGGTGCGGTTTCTATAAGGTTGCGACCTTAAACAGTCCAATTAAGGCGGACCTCCAAATTTTATCATAACAATTGATTTTGGGGTAAAAATTTCTTAGGATTATTTTAAAATCTATTTTTATCTCTAATTATACAATTTTAAACTCCAAAAAAGGTTAAAATCAAGTAGATCTATAAACATATGAAAATATTGAAAATGGACGGTCAAGATAATGTGTTGCAAGATATACTATTTTTGGTATTCAAAATCTTTATTTTTTTTCATATTCATACATCTTGATATTGAGAAGATCAATTAGAGGGTTCAAGGACACATCTGTTTCTAGTACTAAACTATTTAACATTATATCATATTGTTTGATTTAATTTTAAAATACCTATAAAAAAGATTATGATCATGATTCATTGTATCATATTGTTTGATTTAATTTTAAAATACCTGTAAAAAAAGATTATGATCATGATTTAGAATAGTATCACAAGTGTAAAATGCTAAATAATGCATCTCTCATGAGTATTTTGATAAGTTTCTCAAAAAAAAAAAATCAATGTCAAGCTCTCAAAGGGCTCAATATTGCCTATGAAATGAACGGCATGCGATCATTTAGTTCAAGAAGACGATTTTTCAATGTTTCTTTTGAAATGTTTTCATGGGTTTCTTCATTGCGTTCAATGGAATGTGTCTGCCAAATTTGGAGAAGACTAAAAAATACAAGAGCTTTCGGGAGGACCAATAGTTTTCCGCAGTGTTTATCAAAGATACCGTTTGAGTTGGAATCCAAACGGTTCTATTTTTTTTTTAACGTTTTTTTACTAAAAGCGTTCGACCTCCACGGACTACGTCATCCTGACTTTCCTTGCAAGGTACGTTAAAAACACCCGCTCGTCTTTACATGTTCGCTGTGTCGTTATGCCAGATGGGGTTTTGTCCCATTCGCTACCCATGCGCTATGCTCGACAGCTCATGGCGCGTGACCTTGTGCCATGTCTTTTATAAGTTGATGTGCTCCCTCATCTTTTCGATGTCCCTCTACTCTATTAACGTCTATTGTTAAAATTAAAATAAGCTTTTACTATAAAAATTAACCCTTTTATTAGATATTAGGCAATAAGTTATTGGTTATTAGAGATTAAAAAGAAAAAAATAGTACTAACTCATAAGATATTAGAACAACAAAAAATAATATTAATACTAATTTATTGATCATTAAAAAAAAATAACACTAGCCCAAACTATTTTAAAATTTATTTTAAAGTGGCTTTGCCAATTATCCCACATTACATGTATGATAGTTATATGTTTTTATAATCTTATTATAATATAGTTACAAATTTTCTTTTCTAAATTCTATATTTTTGTAAATTTATTTATTTGTAAGGGTCACACCTTTGTTTATTATTACCTTTGTTTATTATTAATAATTATACATGAATAACCAAATCTTGTATTTTATTTGTTTATTATTTATATTATAAATTATATAATGTATTATTTTTATTATAGATATAAATAATTTTTTGCAAAATTAGTTATTATAAGACAATTTTTAAATTTATTCATATAGGGAAAGAACATCTCAATATTCGCATATCGATGAAAAAAATGAAAGTTCTTTATGTACTACCCTCATTTCTTACTGGATTCCCCAAAAGCAACATTTATACTGATTTTTAATAATTTTTTTAGATTTTTTTTTAGTCTGAATCTAGCTGATTCAACTGATTCCCAATCCGAAACACCGATTCATCGATTCATTTGGGTTTTTGGTGTTGGGTTTATGTGACCTTTAAAGGCCTTATGAGTGTTTATAAAATGAAATAATATAGTGGAAGATGAATTCAATGGGAGTGTGGTCCCTCGTGGACCATACTAAGCAAACAATGTTTGCTGATACTGGACTGTGCTTGACGATCTTGGCCAGTCGGTTGGAAAAACCAATATATCTAGGCATAAAGAACAAACTGAGAAGGATTTTGGGTTATTTTTTGATGAGGTCGGAGCTTATGCCTAGATGAATGAGCCGAGAGACTGTATAACTCTTGTGTGTGATGGTGGGCCTACAAAGACAGGGGTCAAAACCTCATCCATGATCCATCACACGGCATACATATCGATAGATTGTTCGAGAAAGCTAGATATCCACCTTTAATGCATGGGCAAGAGATATTCATATGCGTCATAGAGCTATGGTCGCATAAAGTCTTGGTGACCTTGACTCGTCTCTAGGGAGGACCTGAAATCCACAGACTGGGATTATGAACTCTTGGTTCATCGGCCAGACTTTGGTGACCCGCTAATGAGCCCTTGCTTGGACTGTGGTTCACGGGAAACATTGGGTCGGTCAGATAAAGCAAGTGTGGTTCATAGTTCACAGTTGAAGGTGGAGTGCCCCATGATTGTTAATTCAATTCTTAAACCATATAGATTCATTTTCCATCATATTAATTTAATTATATTTTTTTTATGAT